GCGAGTCTTCGCTTCACTGAAGGAAGGAACAGAACTACAGCCATCCACCAGTAAAATACTGCTAAGTGGAATGAAGTAATAAAATTGAGAGCTGGGCTGGGCGGGCCGTGAGGCAAGAAGCCTTCGTGCAGCGAATGGAAAGTCCGCCGTAGTCGGGCGGCCCGTGAAAACTACTTGCCTCACTAAACACTGCCCAGTCGACTTCAGGTGCCTGCTGGGTCGAGTGGACTGGCGGTGAGGTCCCGTCGCTTTTGACTTGTAGGCAGTGCTACCCAGGTCCGACTGAGAGTCTTCGACGACGCTTTGTTTGTCTGTAGTGTGTTCCTTTGTGTTGGTGTGGTTTTCCTCCTTGCCATCGTACGTGTCGAAGGAGCCGTCATCGGCGTGGGGCTCAATGACAGTGTCGGTCCTGCTGAGCCACTCCAGGATTCGCTCGGTCGCGGTGGTTGGCGAGTCGGGATCCATTGGGTCGTTTTCTTCGATCCAAGATCAAGCTCGGGCACGGTCGGCCGAGACGCCAGCCTCGCAAAGAGCATGGGCGAGAATGTCCTCGACAGGAAAAACGCACAGGAGCGTCGAGGAGACGACTGTGCCGTCGATGACGGCACTGGTGGGTTTTGAAGACTCAGCGTAGCTGCCGGACTCACGATTAGGGGGCCTCTTCGACTTGGTGTCTGGGCGGTAGCTGGTGTGCGCGGGAGCACGAGGCGTGTGGCGTCCGCGTCGAGGCTGGTTGGGTAGCTGGTCGGGGAGCTCTCTGAAAACCTCAGACTCGAATCATCGACGTCTGGGATAGGACTGCCGTCCTACAGTTCCCTCTCGCGACGACGTGGAAGAGTTCCAGTCTATCGAAAATGAGGTGCTGGTATTCGGGGAGCATGTCATCCCAGTAGAACCGATGGCGGGGGAGATGCCTGATCTCATGGACATCTCTCGTGGAGAAACTTATGGTGTCCTGGGCGAGGTCGCTCAGAATGTCGTAGGCATGACGGACCCTCGCTCCGGCATGGGTGGTGGGGGCTCTATCAGAGGTAGTTGGATTGCGCTGGTGGCTCTGGTAGAAATGATTCTCGTAGAAGCCATACCTCCGGCGGTGGCAGGGGGAGGCCTCCGGCGATGCTGGAAGCGATCTCTCGGCGCGTCTGTGGATGTTCGAGCTCACCGTGCCGACGTTTGAATAGCTCGCGTTCACAGTTTTGCAAAAGAGACTGTTGAGACTGCTGGCCGTGTGGGGCGAGATTGGCCAGGCCATCGACGATTGGAAGCAGGGCAGCTCCCAAGGTTTAGGCGAAGGAGGCAGAAATTGCATCCCATGTCTGTTGGACGAGGGTGGCGCGTTGGCGCGTTTGACGAGGAGGCATCCTTCTCCTTGGCTTTTTCTTTTGTCATGTTGAGAAGCTGAGAGGCGTGGCAGTGCCGGCGACGGTAAAGCCCCTCTATCCTGGGAAAAGTGGCGCCGTTCATTGTTGTTAAATGCTCGAGGCACGTGCGACGCGCTACTTCTGGGAAATTCATGCCGTCTGAAATAGCTAAGTGTTGCGCTGTGCCGCCATGATCTTCCCAAGGGCTGCACGTTGCACGTGCCTTGTGCATCGACGAACATTGCGCTACTTTTGAAACATGAAGGGGCTTTAGGCGGCGGGTGCCACTCGGTTTGAAGAAGGGTCTCGGCGCGGGAAGGAAAAGAAAAAAACTCGGACACCCTTCTGACGTTTCCTCGCTCCTTCCACCACTCTCAGCCCGAGCATATATATATATATATTGTATATATAATACAAAACGCCAATGTCAAACCCCTGACTTTTTTTTATTTCTGTGTTGTTTCAAAATCGTCACTCGCGACACGTTTCACACTAAATGAACAACATAAACATTATTAATGAACAGCAGGGCCCATTAAAGCCCCTTCATGTTTCAAAAGTAGCGCAAAGTGCGTCGATGCACGAGGCACGTGCAACGTGCATCCCATGGGAAGGTCATGGCGGCACAGCGCAGCACTGAGCTAGATTTCAGACGCCATGTTCTTTCCAGAAGTGGCGCGCTGAACGTGTCTCGCGCGTTTCCACAACAATGAAGGCGCCACTTTTCCCAGGATACAGGGGCTTTAGGGCCCGTTTGCTCGAAGCGCTAACCCCGGCTAAAGTTAGCCGCAGTACCTAGGAGAGGGATTCTGAGATCATGTGACAGGGATCGGTAGGGATGCGGGAAAACATGGCGGTGCCCCGCAAAGTGAGCGCCGCTCGCTTCGGAACTAATATGTCGTGGTAGCTGCAATATCGCGCGCGTTAGTCAGTAACTAATGGTGCAGGAGGCTTTCGCTTTGCCTTACCTCACTTAAATCGCAAAGCATGAGCAATGACCTCGCCGCATTTTTTAGATAGTATTTCGATTCTGGCCATTCTTAAGCCTAAATGAACACGATAATTGGCGGCATGCATGGAAACGTCTTTGGAAAGTGGATTGCCTTGACTCAATCGGCCTTGTATTGATAGCACACAAATTTCCCAAGCACCGAGGTGCATGCTACGAGTGTAGTTGCAGGCATTGCGCGTGCTGGCGTATGCAGTAGTAATATACCCGTTGCTCTGGGCAGGGGGCGCGAGCGCGTCCGGAAGACTTACGCAAGACGCGACCAAGTTTTGCTGGCTGCATCATCCGTGTGGCGCTGTAACGTTCGATTTTGCACGTGCCACGTTCGAATACAAGCCGCTGTCAGCATCTGTAGATGTGCGGTAACAAAACGTCTAAAAAAAGTTAAAAAAAAAAGAACAGAATTATGTTGCTTGCGGCCGCAGCGTTCCATTAAACATTCCTTTCATATTTGCTTTCTTTCACAGCTTCCGCGAGCACGTATATTTCACTTTACGTGATAGTGAAGCCGAAGCTACTCGGAAAAGCGCGTCATCCTGAACGATGCTCGCACTGCACGAGCGCGCGTGCTTGGCAGGGACGCGGAAAGCTCGCAGCTCGCTCTTGTTTCCTCTGCTACGCTGGAACTTAGAATGGAACTGAGTAGAAAAAACTCTAGTGGGGAAGCGTATTGATGCATGTTCGAAACGCGAGCCAAATATTCTATTTTGCTCGCCTGCAGCGCTGCTCAAAACTTGTGAGCTACGGGCCTATCGTTCTAAAGGAAAAAGACTAAAACAAATTTTACCTTGCACGCGCGTTCGTCCAAGTCTTATAATGATTATTTACTTCGAATCTTTTATAAGAGGAAGGACAGCGAGCGCGGACCATAGAATTACACTTCCAGCGTTCTTCTCGATGCTTGGGTAATTTAGAAAAAGGTCTGTCGGGGCGGGACGCTGGTCTTCTTTTGTGTACTATTAATATCCGGTCGATTGAGTCAAGGCAATCCGCTTTCCAATGACGTTGCCATGCCGACACTTATCGCGTTCATTTAGGCTTTGAAAGGCCAGAATCGAAAGACTATGCAACAAATGCCGCGAAGTCATTGCTCGTGCTTTGCGATTTAAGCGAGGTAAGGCAAAGCGAAAGCCTCCTGCACCATTCGTTGCTGACTAACGCGCCCGATAGTGCAGCTACAACGACATATTAGTTACAAAGCGAGCGGCGCTCAGGCACCCGGGCGCCGCCATGCTTCCCGGCATCCCAGCCCCCAGTCACGTGATTTCAAACTCCCTCTCCTAGGTACTGCTGCTAACTTTAGCCGCGGTTAGCGCTTCGAGCAAACGGGCCCAGGTTTTCTTTTCCGCCAGCTCTGCATGATGGCCAATTTACCTTGTTTCTTTATACTGGCTACTGCATGTCAGGAACATCGGTGGTTTTGATAGAACCGAGTTGGATGGACATCTGAGAATTCGAACTTATTAGTTAATACACTGAAAGCGACACGTACTGAATACATGTAGCGATGTAGGAGTGTGGCAGATTTAGAAATATAGAATTTTTTTAATTATAAGCTCGACCACTAATTCAATCTGAGTATTCTTAATCCTAAAGTCAGATTGAATGGAAATATGTAACCAGATGCACCACTCGCTGACAGTCACTCTGTCAAATGGCCACAACTATTTTAAGATCCCTCCTCCAGGTCATACTTCAGAAAAACTAATAGTTTATTTTTCGGTTAATATTGGTTAAAACCGGTTACCGGTGAATAATTTACGGTTACGGTTACGGTTACGGTTTTTATAAATATCAAATAACGGTTTCGTTCCGGTTACGGTTACAGAAAAAATTTCGTTCCTAAACGGTTTTCGGTTTCGGTTACGGTTACGGTTTGAGTCCCTGGCACTCCGCACCAGCTCGAGCTTCTCGATAAGCACTAAGCACTGGGGCTGCTGGTGCGGAGGGCTCCCTTCAAACACAGCGAGCGCTTGCAAAATTCCAATGGAACCATCTTGAAGCTCAGCTACGCAGTTAACTCTCTTAGGCATGCAATAGCTCTCCGAGTGCCACAGAATCCCGCCACACTGAAAACGGTGGTAGTACTTGACTTGTGGTGGCAGGACTCCCAGGTGATTCTCCAACACAACCTCCATCCTAATGTTGACGCCAGAGCAACTCTGACGTCGGTAAACAACTATGCCGCCAGGGAGCTTTACCCCACTCCTCCCCATAGTCTGCCGACCCACCATCCTTTCAAAAAATTCCCTTCCTTCAGGCATCTCTATCCTCTCTGCCCAGAGAACAAGGTTCTGCCACAAAATAAAAGTTCTGGCAATCTGCTCAGCGACAGACTGTGTGCCTGCAAAGTAGTTGAGAAGGATGGCATTCCGCCCTTCAAAAGGAAAGCAGGACGTCGCCCACAGCGGACCCCAAGCCTCCACAGAGTCTGTCAGGTGAAGGAGCTGGTGGACATTGTATGACACATTGGTCTCGCCATACAATGTCCCCATCTGCACCACAAACTTCTCTAGCAGAGCCCGTGCCTCCGTGAGGTCACGCTCTGAAATATCGTCTTTCAGCAACAGGTACATCCCATACGAAAGTAATGAGAAGTGTCTAAAAAGGTTAGTGGCAAAATGGGCTTCAACACGATGTAACCATAGAAAAGCATCAGTGCCCGCAACTCCGACGCTTTCCAGTAAGCTCTGTCTTCGAACTTCCTTGGAGTGCGGGTAATCTCTGTCGGTGGGGAGAGAGCCAGAAGCAAACCGTTCAGTTGTGGCAACTTTGTTCCGATATACCACGGACACTCGTGGTACTCACTCTCTAGCCACAGTTTGAGCAACTGACGCATAACACCAAGGCATGCACAGTGTTGGTAGTCCGGTATAAAACCGTCTACCACATCAAACCGAGGAAGGGTCATTGCAATGCAAGGGCCTTTCACTCCATTGGCGGGCACTGAGGAGGTACCACTTGTTGCCTCTTCCAGATGCTTGACAGCTGTCCTGCGCTCTGGAGGAGGGTCCAAGTACTCATAGCTGGAACCCCCTGGGTGGTAACACCAGCCACAGCCATAAAAGCCGTTAAACTGTTTACAGTTCCGCACTGCAGAGCGAGCAATGGCGTCCACCGAGCATGCAGCTGCGAACACTCTTATGTGAACCGTTTTTCCATCTTTCACGCAAGAAAATCCTGTAGAAAGCTCTTGCAGTTCCTTCGTAAAGGGTGTCAGGAGAGTAGTCATGTTTGGCTTACAAAACCCAAACCACAGGGCAGGCATCAACATATTCTGTTTCCGCACTGCAGGGTCCAATTGAAGAATTTCGCACTGAACAGGCCAGATATCAAAGCTTGATTTCTCAAACACCCTGATCCCATCTGTATTCCAAAGCAGGGAGATGTCATGAGTTGAGAAATCAGCCGAAAGTCTGGCATGTTCAATGCCATCCTTTACGTCTCCAATCGTGTTCCTAGCTCCGTTGCTTTGTGGGAGCCATTTGAGGTTTTGCTGTGCTAGGATCCGTTCGATTTGCTCCTTCAGAGGCATCACAAGAAAGAAAGGGCAAGACACTATATCTACATCCCGTTCACAGTTTTCGCAATGAGCCTGGCCCTCAGGGGTTGATTTACCTAAATACCCTAGACAATCCATGCAGTAAAAATGCTTCTCTGCACCAGGGACGTCAGCTCCTAAAGTCTTCAGAAGAAGGTACTTTGATGTTGGTGCACGACCGGGGGTTATGATGTTCTGCATATCCAAGAGATCTGCGATACCCTGATCGCTCACCCTGTGCCGCATCACATATGCCATGAGAAGGGCTGCAATTTGTTTCTTTTCGTCAACGAAACCTTGGTTCTGAAAAAAAATTAAATTCACAATTATTAAACAGAAAACTCCTTGCTCTTACTCAATTTACACAAAATACACTAACATGAGAGGACAAAATTGTGTGATTCATTAAAACTAAAATGTGCAAAATTTACATCCTTGTGGTGCCCAGTCTGCGATATACGAATCATCAGCATTTTGGATGCTAAAAGTGAGGCAATCTATCTCAAAGTAAGAAAGCCAAATTTTGATTAATATGACACTAAGTTTGTGATAACTGCCTGCCTGCATGGCACGGGCAGGCAGCATTAAGAGCACAAGGTTACAAATATTTTATTCAGGACTGCAAGGCAGAGTGATTGCAACATAAGAATTAATGATTTCACATGACTTGTAGTATTTTGTAGGTTTGATGACTAGTATTAAAACTTTTATTTTGTTTTCAGGGCTCTCTGGAGTATTCTTTGTTGCCAGTATGTAATAAGATGACCATAAGATAACATGACCCCTATTTATGCTACCGTCATGTCATATCTAACTGATTTCATTCCACAGAAAAACAATACCTAAACTTAGTCGTCCACTACAATGATTCAAGATCAAGCACACAAATTATAGGTGAGTGTGGTCACGAAAGACAAGGCTTATTTATGTCTTATTTAATTAGAGTGCCCATTTAATAGTCAGATGCTTTTACAATTTTGTGCACTATTAGCCTTGTAACATCAATGCTATTGTTCTTTTGCTCAAACCCTTGTTTACTGAACCGATAGTCTATTGACCGGAATGCTCTGTTCAAAGTTGCTGTCCAGTTCGCTTTAAACTTAACATAGCATTTACTGCCTTCTAAACAACCAGGGATGTGTTCTGCTTCTGCCCTCATGCACAAAAGGTGCACATGACCAAGTAATATTCTGCGGCTTCATGTCCGTCCAGCCTCAGCTAAGACTGCCCTCATGACTGTAATTAGCCGGCTCCACCTCTCGACACGTTGGTGGTATGATGCACTTTCAGCAAACAGACCGCCCTCAGTAACCATTTGACGCATGCTTCATGCCATCAGAACTTCAGTCCACTGGAGGCAGACGGCAGTGCTCGAGACATGTTGTGATGTCTAGTACTCTATTCGCGCAGACCTGCAGTGGGATAGTAACTTGTGCAGGAAAGCTGAAGCTGCAGCAAAGCATCCCAGCAGAGGCAAGTGCCTGGGTGAATCAATCTGTAAGCTTTTTACACCATCAAATGTTTTGCGAGCTCATGTATAGCCGAGTCCCATGAGCAGTGCATCAAACGAATAAGGAGCTGAATGTGCTCAATTGCCTTTGCATTGTATCAGGGACACTTTCTACATACTGGTTCGAAACCAAACCTTGTACACACTTCTCTTTGAGTACTGCTATAAATGTTGAAAAAAATATTGTTTCATTGATGAACCAAAAAATGTAGCTGCAAGCATGGAATGCTTTAGGTGTAATGGGTACTGTGCAGGCCGCAGCTATTGAAACTTGTATCTTTTTGCTAGAGGCAGGTTCTCAATATCTGGCATCTTTGAATTGGTTGTTCTCTTTAGGAGAAAAATGTAACCAGTCGTGGTTAAACTTTTTACTGTCCTAGTCAATTTTCTTTTTTCGGAGTGCACACATACTCCACGCGTAAAACAGAACAAACATCAACAATGCTTACTTGATCATCCTCCATCTCTTCAGAATCTGTGCTGTCTGCATCAGTTTGTGGTAGCGAGGGTCCTGAGACTTCATCCTGATTTGAAGAAGCAGAAGCATACAAGCTTATGGATCCACAGGCTCTCACACAGTGGTGCATTGGTCTAGTTTGTTTTTCCAAACTATTATGGCAGGCCACAATGTTAGCAATCTTGTTACAGCCGATCAAAACATAGGAGAGACAGAAAATAGACAGGACGACATCTTGAGACGTCGTCCTGTCCGTTCTTTTTCTACATTCTGATGTTTCTTCTCTACCCCAGTCTGACGTTAATCCAACATGGCTAAAAATCAGTGCCCGCCAATACCGTTTCAAGGCAAAAAACAAGAGCGCCTTTGTCATGTTTGTACTTCCTTGTCTCTAGGCGCACCCCAGAAACACATCAACAATGCTTACTTGATCATCTCCCATCTCTTCAGAATCTGTGCTGTCTGCATCAGTTTGTAGTAGTGAGGGTCCTGAGACTTCATCCTGATTTGAAGAAGCAGAAGCATATACAAGCTTATGGATCCACAGACTCTCACACAGCGGTGCATTGCTCTAGTTTGTTTTTCCAAACTATTATGGCAGGCCACAATGTTAGCAATCTTGTTACAGCCGATCTTAAGGGTGGCTGACATCTTTAGGTGAAATGTTGGCTGCCACTTTGATGTTGACAGACCAGAATACTGTTTTTCAGCCAGCTTGAAGCACAAAAATGCCTGACACAAATTGTGAACTGCCGTGGTTTCACTGAAACTAAATAGCAAAGTTTTTGCCACGCACCAGCACAATTTTTTCTGTGGACCGACATATGCCTACTTTAGCTGTACTCGCCAAGTATTACAGCCATCCTTTTTTTTCACATAATGTTCAGATGAGGATTTCTACTTTTATGCAATCCAGACCAGAACAGTTGCCTAGACACTTACTCTTCTACACATGCCAATGCTACTGCATGTATACCAACATGATGGCATCTGCAAACTGTGCATGAAACTTTTGCAACATGTTTAATGAGGTATGAACCCCTCAAGATGACAAATCCAGACAAATGATATGACATTCAAGTTTGCTAGGTGCAAAGAAGAAACAGATCTCAAGTTTACTGATATTGCCACGTGCTTTACCGGGCAAGCACTTCTGTGGCCAAATGGTTATCGTGCTAGGCTGCCACGTAAAGGGGCCAAGGTTCGAATCCTAGGAGCAGACAAGCCTTTTTGTTAACCCTTAAAATAATGTTCTTGTAAATTTCGAGAAGTTTGTTTGTTCAAGGTCGGAATATTCTACTTGCCGAACATTCTACATCGATTGTTCGAGAAGCCAACGCGTAAACATAAGGGGCCCCGTTTGGCAATCCGAAATCAATCTCACCCAAGCGCTCGACACTGCTCCTGTGCCGCACAAACATCTGTGACGCTATTAAGTTCACCTTATTAATTGTTCAGTTTCTTTCGTTCTTCCTCGCCTCTTCATCAGTCATTCATGGCAATATTTACTGAAATTCAAGTAACATCACCTTAATTCTTAAGAGATTCATTATAGCAGTGACACAACGAATGAAATCAATCTGTTTCAATATAGACCCAAAGATCACAATCTTACTTGTTCAGCTGCCAGCTCTTCTGAAGGAGACCCCTCCACATCTCCCTCCGGTGGCAAAGAACATCCTGGTTCGACCTGGTTTGGTAAAGGCAAAGCTATTCAGTTCAATATTTTTCCACGGAACATAACACGGCTTATGCGAAGTCCCGATGCTACTGGACGATCACCACTCGGCATTAGATGGCCTACAATCAAGTCACCAAATAATTTACCTTGGTCCTAAAAGTAAATTCGGATGCACACAAATGTCCAGTCTGTCTACTAAAATTTGTTCGCACCTAGGATCAGGGTACAAACCATGACACCGTTAGTACAAACAAGTCACCGTCAGTTTTTCTGTCCCTCTCTTAGAGTTGAAAAGCTGTCGGCCAAACGACTTGAGTCATTTAAAGTGCTTGTTTGAGGCAGCAACCTCAGAAGTAAAAATCGGTGAAAATATAGTAAGGGTGCAGGCGAGCTGGTGAATATTAACCATGTTAAATTAACCTGAAACTGGGGTAGAGAAGAAACATCAAAACATAGAAGAGACAGAAATTAGACAGGACGTCTTGAGACATTGTCCTCTCTGTTTTTTGTCTCTTCTACCATTCTGATGTTTCTTCTCTACCCCAGTCTGAGGTTAATCCAACATGGTTAAAAATTGGTGCCCGCCAATACCGTTTCAAGGCAAAAAACGAAAAAGCGCCAATGTCATGTTGGCACTTTTTTTTTTTTTTTTTTGTGCAGAAAGAAGGTGAAAGCAGAGTTACACTTTAGTTTGTCTTACCCTAGAATGGGCTAACTGGAAATAAAATGTGCAAAGGGTGCCTCCCACCTATGCTCGAGAGCTCCTTATTCATGACTGTAGGAGCTCCTCGAGAGCTCCTACAGTCGTGCTGTGATTAAATGCAGGGAGCTCGCACTCATAGCCTTTTTTCAGAGTAAAGTTTCACCGTGGAGTATGAAAGTCAGTAAAAAATCTTTATTTTTGTTACTTACATCCCGCAAATAAAAAACTATGTTTCATTCTACTTTTATGGAGACACACAAACGGTTGTCAGGCACTAGGCAAGCACTGCTACTTCAACTGTATACTAGTATTGATCACAACGTGACATTTTCAATTCGCCTGGTTGCAAAACCTAATGATTTTCTCGTTCTAAGTCGATAAAGGTATCAATATTGTTTGAGGAAACTAAAGTTTTGGAGACGTCCGTGTCTATCGCATATTTTAGGATTTCTGAGCATTTCACCTGTTTTCTTATTCACTGCATTTAAAGGTATGTCGGACAAACCCGGGACGTGGATCTAAAGATACGTTGGACATCGCCACAATGGGAAAGGGTTGTATTCAGGGTGTGGAGTACTCTAAGCGGAGTGGCTGAGGAAGATCTCTTGACGCATCTTTGAGCTTTTTGGCTGCAGCAGTGAGTACAAAACCACAAAACTACGAAACATGTGCCATTGTAGAGGTGTGCATTGTGCAAAGCATGAAAAAGATTGGCGGGCCATGGTGTCTCGCCAGTTCCCGCCTGCCGATCTCTGAACATATATTTGTGTGGTGCAACGTGCCTTACTGAGACTATGTGTGCGAGACCTTTAACATAGCTTTTATCACTATATTTATCTCCACTGACGATTTTCATCCCATCTCTGTTTCTCATTACTATATATTCCTTTCCACCACCACCCCTTATTCCCAGTACAGAGTAGCCAACCAGAACTGGCGTTCAGGTTAACCTCTCCAGTTTTCCCTTCATAAACTTCTATGCCGAACCCTCTGCGATGAACCCTGAGCAGCAGTGTAGGGTGACCGCGGGCTGTTTGGGAACCTAGTTTGCAAACAGACTGCGGTCTTGCAAAGATGTGACTATTCTTATACCTCTTAACTAAAATATAGTGTATCTGTTTCTACTTTTCTTTCCCATCTGTCCAAGCCTACAACCTGAATGTCAAAGCAAGGACCGTACACTGTCATGTAAAATAATCATAGCTTTTCCCTTTCCCATCGTGGCTACGTCCGACATACTGTAAACGACTTAATTTTTGTGAATTTTGCAAATCGCCAACAATTTGCGAAAAATAAGTCCCGCAAACAATTTCGGTAAGATATAAACACACTGGAATCTACATTGAGATTCCACTGCGTCACTAAAATTAGGACCCACAAATTATTTCAAAACTTCAGCTTTGACCTAAATCGTGAAATATTGAGCCCACGAAAAATAAATCGCTTAAAGTATCTTTAGACACCCAGTTCTGCATAAGTAGACACATCTTTAGGCTCCATTCGGGTTCCGGATACACCCAACAAACATTTAGACTCCAACTCAACTCCCACTCGTCCCCCATGAACCAAGCACCCAAAAACAACGAAAGGCAATGTAATCTGATGGCGCAGCTTACACCAGCTGCCAATTCGTGTATACTTTCAAAGGCACAGAAACTACTAAATGGCATGGCTGATAAGCGAGATTTGTCATTACTCTCATCCTTTTAGAACCCTTCGAGACAAACCACACGAAGTGGCAAAGCCCACCCAGCAGACAGTACCACTTGACCAGCGACATTAATGTCATAGGGGGTGTTGATGTCGCTAGTCGGGCAATATTCCCTGTGTTGATGTCGCTAGTCGGGCAATATTCCCTGCGGGGTGGGGTTCGCCGCCTCACGTGGTTTGTCTTTTGGGGTTCTGGGTGGAAGGGGGGGGGGGGGGGGCCTAGTTTTTAGATCACAATGCATCTCGTAGTTCCTGAGTGCATTGTGCAAGGGGGGAGAGAGAGGATAGATCAGGGGTACGGAGTTCGGGTAAGGCCTGGGCTCAGATTGGGTCTACGTGTTGCACTCCTACACAAAGCATGTGACATCGTGGTACACTAACTTAAGCCTGAGCCTAAAGGCCTGTTCACAATCTTGCGACCGAGTAAGACCGAAAGAGACCAGACCGGTTTTTAAGCCTCTTGCGATCTCTTAGGACGAGCTCCGCTGCAGCGCATCCGGTCCTAAGAAATCGCAAAAGACTTAAAAACTGGTCTGGTCTCTCTCGGGTCGCAAAAGTGTGAACGGCGCTTAACCCGACCCCCACCTCCCCACCTTCCTCTCTGTCCCCGGTAAACCACCCACCCAGAAACCATGAGCTGCAATGTAATATCAGTGGCTACGTTTCCATGGATGCGACCATGGCGCATCGAATCGAGATGTGACCAGTCACGCGCCCGCGATCCTCCTTTCCCTTCCTCGTCTACCCAATCATAGGCGGTTAATCTCGATTCGATTCGCTACGATCGCATCCATGTAAACTCAGCCAGTGGTGTTGTCGGATTATCTGCCAGCCCACAGCTAGCACCACGTAGCCGCAAAAAAATAGGACCTGTAAGGCCAGGCCTAGGACGGGGGCAGAAAAGGTGGAGCCAGGACACAGGGACAGTGATGAGATTACTGAAGAAAAAATTATGTTATCGGTTGCAATCCGGCTTTGCGTGACTGCGTCACGATGCCTCCACCGAGGCCAAGACACCACAAAATTCAAGACCAAGACCAAGACTAAGCACCCCCCCCCCCCAAAAAAAAAAAAAAAAAAACACCACGCACGCGCGCGCACACGCACATACACAACCCTTTGAGACGAACCACGCGAGGCCAACACCGTAGGGAGCAGCAACGTCCGTCCACCGCCTCGCCCCCGCCCTCCCCCTTGTGACGCCACTGGAGGGAGTACTGCGCGAGTGCGTGAATACAACTTACAGCACCAAAAAGCGCGTTATTTACCTCTTCGGTGTGTCCTGCTTCCTCGCCACTAGTGCAGTCGTCTTCCGAGACCTCGTCACATCGCGAGCTGTCGGCGACTTCAGAAGCTCCGATACCAGAGAAGGCCACAGTCGGAGGGGTCCCGGCAGCTAACGCTTGCATTTTGAAGCGCCGACTTTCAGTTTTTCTGAGCAAGGGCACATCCTGTTCGAGGTGGCGTTTGTACCTTGAAATCATGGCCTAGCGTCTTTTCCTTGCTTTTTCCCAGTCACGGAGTCAGAAGGAAATGCATGCAGTTCCGTAAATACAAATCAGAGCGTCACATAGTGCCCTGGCACGTGCAAAACTGCACAAAGGAACGCCTGGGAATGCTGCAGATGTCCTACATATATCGTTAAGCCCTGCAAGTATCACACGAACATTGTCGGGCTCTGCCATCAATAATACAATCTAGCACAACCGGTACAACCAGTACAACTCCCAACTGAAAATAGAAGGTAACTCGCGCCACCTAACTACTGTGTTTTAATTTTATCTAGCTACTAGGTTTTTTACACCAGGTTAAATTTCTATTTCCATTTTTAAGATAGATAGATTGATAGGATCTATCCAGAAATCCAAACCTCTGATTTATAGCCTTCAGCCTAGTGCTCAACGCTCACGTCTTGTGTCCGACCTGTCGAGGTCGTCAAGGTAGAGGTCAATGTTCATTAGGCCTACCAGTCCTCGTTATGAGAACAATGAATCGCGTTCAAAGAGATTGCAAAAAGGGGCGGCCTTTCGAGATTTTGGAGGCATATGTTACAGCCCTCCACCCCCAACCTGCACGTAGGCTCGAATTATAATGCAATTAAATGCAAAGGTGCAAGCCAGCTGGTCAAGAATGACGAAATGAAGGCTCGAGTTGTGCGCAGCAAAACTACACTGTAGGCAAACCGCGAGCGCGAGAGCACAGGTTTTTGCGGAATGCTCTGTTTGACCCAGTGCTCGCGGGCATTTTGGAAAGCAGCGTGCTCGCACCCGTGTCTTCTGCCTTCCTGCACACAGCTTATTGGGAAACAGTCAGAGTTTTAAGAGTAAGGAAATCAAAGGAAGTGTTGCTGAGCCGGAGGCTCGGCATGTCACCTTTGTTATTAGGAAAAAAAACGTGTGAACTGAAGTATATATGTGTTCTTTCTGAACTTTCTGCGGATGCTCATCCCGTTAAGGGTGGTTGAGGAATATCCTCTTGTCTTGAAAGACTGCGTGAGCTGCGCGCCATGATCTCGGCTACGTAGCGTATTCCGAGCCTCGATCTGACCCTTCGGACCCACTCCTAGCTGATAAAAAATGAAAGAAAAAAG